ACTGAAAGTACTTCCAAAGGCCAAGTTGGACCAATTTGAACAAGAAAATAAAGTAGTATTGGATTATAACCCTAAGTATAAAACGAATACCTATGAGTTCATACTACCGTAAGTAAAGGATTGAATAAATAAACGAATGAGGGAGAATAGACAAATTTCCCATGCTGAAGAATTCCAAATAATTTATGTAGATTTTCACCCTCTAGGAGGTGGAACATAACTCCCTACTCTTTTTAAAAAAAAAAATTTATTTATTTATTTAGGCTGCTCTGGGTCTTAGTTGTGGCACGCGAGACCTTCACTGCAGCATGCCAGCTCTTAATTGTGGCATGCGGACTTCTTAGTTGTGGCATTGGACTCTTAGTTGCCACATGCATGCGGGATCTAGTTCCCTGACCAGGGATCGAACCCAGGCCCCCTGCATTGGGAGCATGGAGTCTTACCCACTGGACCACCAGTGAAGTCCCTAACTGTACTATTTAAGTGTGGGCTGTGCTTAGCGACTTCCTTCTCAAAAGTACAGTGTGGAAAAGGGGAAAAAGTAACTTTACAGGAGAGAAAGTTGGCAAATACTGCCTAAAGCAGATGATCAAGGTCAATATCAACAGTAATAAATCATGCTGATATTATGCACCCTTGATAGGATGTTGATGAGAATGGTATTTTACCTCAGTGGTCCTCCTCCCCCAAAACCATAACCTCAGACTAATCTTGAGAAAAACATCAGACAAATTACAATTGAGGAATGTTGTACAAAATACCTGACCAGTATTCCTCAAAACTGTCAAGGTCATCAAAAACAAGGGAAGTCTGAGAAACCGTCACAGCTAAGAGTAGCCTAAGGAGACATGACAACTAAATGTAATACGGTATCCCGGATGGTATCCTGGAAAATAAGAATGACACTAGGTAGAAACTAACAAAATCTGAAGAAAATATGGACTTTAATCTATCGATATTATATCAATAAAAATTGCTCAATAATATATCAGTATTAGTTCACTGTGACAGTCATATCATGCTAATATAAGATTTAAGGGGAAACTGGGTGTGAGGCATATGAGAACTCTGTAGTAGCTTCAAAACTTTTCTGCATATCTAAAATTATTTTAAAATGGTATTATTTTTAAAAAGGGAATGAGAAGTTCCTCTCTGTACCAAGTAAAAAAGAGAAGAGGAAAGCAAGAATGTCAGTAATAAAAATGACGATCAGTTCAGGACAGCACTGTACATCTTTACCAGAATTAATGATATTGCACAGCAGGAGTTTTGCAATAGTGGCAGTTGTCACAGGCTTCTTAGTAGAAAACAGTAAACTCTAGTAGTGTGCTTAGTTTATAAATAGTAACTCACCTGGTAGGTTACTAGCAAATACTCAGTTGTAGTTAAAAATTAAAGTGTATTGTGTGTTCTTAAAACCAAGCATCAATTTATGCAATAAAGAAAATGTGCCTACCGCTGGGCTGAAACCACACTTTGCCCTGTGGTACTTGTGTATGGCAGTTGACTATTCCTCAGGGAGGCATAATGTTTTCAAACAAAAATATATTTCCCATGATTCTGAGGGCACTAAATATATCATCCCTACATCATTTTCCCATTCTTTTCTCTATTCATTCGCAAAACTCCATAAACACAAAAACAAAACATGTGCCAAGAACGATCTGATAGTTGGTTACTTGGGACTGGCCTGAGCTGGTGGGACAGCTTGGCTGTGTTCCAGGTGGGCTCTCTCCTTCTCCAGCAGGCTACCCCAGACTTACTCTCACGTAAGTGGTATGGTCGAGAGGGAGAGGGAGAGAGATGTTGGGAGAGAGATTTTGAGGGAGAGTTATTGAAAGAGAACATGCAAGACCACTTTAGGCCTAGTCTTGGAAAGGCATGTTGTTTCTGCCACAATTCTCTTTGTCTAAAGCAAATCAAGGCAGCCCATATACAAAGATTGGGGAATAAATTGTACCTCTTGGGAGAAGTTGCAGAGTTACCTTGCAAAGATCTTAGATACAGGGAGGAGTGGAGAATTGGGGCCATTTTGCAGTCATTCTAACAGAGTGATTGTAAGTAGAACTTGGTGAATTGAAATAACATTCAGAAGAATCACCTACTTAATTCAGGTAGATTCTTGTCTGTTCATGTTAAACCAAACAGATGAGGTAACTATCACTTTATTTTTTTGCCTTTATTGTAATAATATTAATCACGGTAATTTAAAACAGGCACTTTTGTTTTAAAAGGGAAAGTGTCAGTTTTACACCGAAACACATTTAAAATTTTAATTGTATTGGAAGTCAAAGTAGAATTTAAGAATTGAAAGGGTTATTAGTAGCAAGAATGCTTTCATTATTAGAATGGCCTCTGGTAGCACTTACATTTATCATCTTTGACTGTTACTCTCTCAGTTTTGCATCTGCCTCCATTTAGTTTACCTAGAGAAAATCATTGTAATCTCTTCATTGTGTCAATTTGTAGGACACATCCTTTTAGATTTTATTTTGTGTGGAAAATATGTGCAGATGTTGATGTGTACATGTAGTTGACAGAATTAAGTATCTTTATTTTAATACTTATTACAGAATATACCCAGTTATGCTGTTCATTTAGTTGGGCTTAAAACCTTTTTATTGAAATATAGCATATACATAGAAATGCTCATTCATCATGAGTATAGAGCTATTACACATATGTGTGTATGTGTCACGAGTATAGAGCTCTTTGAGTTTTTAAAAACTGAATATCACTGTGTAACCAGCCTCCAGATTGAGAAACAGAACATTACCAGCATCCCGCAATCCCTCTTCTTGTTCTCTGTCACTGTCTCTTCCAAGAGTAGCCAGTATCCTTACTCCTAATCCTATACATTAGATTTGCCTGTTTTTGTTATGTAGCCATTTATATCTAATATGCATTCTTTTGAGCCTGACTTCTTCAGAATAGGGTGCTCTTAATTGATATTTTTTCGTGTCTTTATGTATAGGTGAGAAACAGTAATTACATTTGGTCATAGGTCCTTTATTTTTATTTATTTATTTATTTAATTTATTTATTTATGGCTGTGTTGGGTCTTCATTTCTGTGCGAGGGCTTCCTCTAGTTGCGGCAAGCAGGGGCCACTCTTCATCGTGGTGCGCAGGCCTCTCACTATCGCAGCCTCTCTTTTTGCGGAGCACAGGCTCCAGCCGCGCAGGCTCAGTAGTTGTGGCTCACAGGCCTAGTTGCTCTGCGGCATGTGGGATCTTCCCAGACTAGGGCTCGAACCTGTGTCCCCTGCATTGGCAGGCAGATTCTCAACCATTGTGCCAACAGGGAAGCCCCGGTCATAGGTCCTTTTAAAATCTTAACTAAAATTTTGAAATTGGGTACTGGAATGATAGAATCAATCATAAATTACCAATAATATATTTTAATTCATTGTAGGATTAATGAGTTCTATAAAGCAGTAATTTTCCTCTTTTAAGAAGTAAACTATAATCTTTTTAGTTTCTTGAAGGAAAAAAGGGACATTAGTGTCTGTAATTATTAAAGTTAGAATTAAAAATACTGTGTGTGTACAAGATTGTAAAGCCTTACTTTTAAAAACTCTAGAAAAGGTAACTTAGCAGTCTCTTTGATAACGCATTTTGGTATTAGGATTTCCTTGAAGTTTTCAAGTTAATTGTACCAAGATATAAAAGAAGGAAAAATATCTTTGTGTGTCAGATAGAGTTAATGAAATTCTAGTTCTTTGGCACTTAACGTGAGACTGAATTATTTCATGTCACTTTAATCAGGTATTTCTGTATTTGAACTTGAGAGCAATCGGATACATCCCCTCTTTGAAACTTGAGATCAGTCAGACACATCCCCTCTTTTCTGTACTAAAAATTTTCCCCTAAAAAACAAAGTAATCACATGTCAAATCTTCATGGCCCCTGGTACTTCGTTTGAAATTTTCTTTTCATTTTGACCCATTAATCTTGTTTTCATAGACTTTGAGCTTTCTGGTTTTGATTCTGTTCAAATATTGTTGAATGTTTTTTCTCTGATTTTTTCATTGGCTTCTTTTTTAATTTCCATTAATTTTGAGCATTATCCAAAGTTTTGTTTTAGGTTTCTTCCCCTTTTCCTCTCAGTCTTAATAAATATCAGATATATGTTTATCTGCATGAATTCTTATTAAAACATATCCTAACTTGACATCTTCCTTTTTCGATTTCTGTCATTTTTTAACATATTTATTTAGATATACTTCCATCTTTTAAACATGTCATAAATCATTTCTGCTTCCCTGATCTTCCTAGTCCCCTCTGCTCCGACTCCTTTCTTTGCCACTATGGATGTCACTGATCTTCATGAATTTAAGAATTTTTATCTGGAAATGATTATTGACTCAATATTTTATTTCTTGCTGTTAATGACATATCACCAAAAGATTACTGTTATTTTCTTAATCTCCTT